TGACGAGGCTGTGGGGTCTCCAGAGTCTGTGACCTGTGCTTCGCCTGCAGGGTCACGGGCGGGGAGCTGTTTGAGGACATCGTGGCCAGAGAGTACTACAGTGAGGCGGATGCCAGGTGGGTGTGCAGCCCTCACTCCTTCTGGGCCTCTTCTCCCCCCAGCCCTGTCTCGCCTGGTCCCAGTCTGGCCCCGTGGCCCACGTGTGCTCCTGCGGGCATCGTGGCTCAGCCGGCCTGGGCCGACCGTTAGCTGCGCCCTGCTGGGAGCCCGAGCGGGTCCCAGAGCAGTGTCCTGCCCCAGATTGCAGGCGAGGCTGGAGTCGGGGAGCGCCCGGACCGGCTCCGCTCCCCTGGGGTGGGGACTGGCCCACAGAGGGGCTTTTTCCCTGGCGCGGTGGAAAGGGGAGTCATGGTGTCCCCCCTCCCTTGACATCTGTCCATGGCCCGCAGCATGCCCCCATGGGGCCTTCCTCAAGGAGATGGGCAGTTTCCAAACGCTTTTCCAAACACAGGGCAGGGATCCCTTTCCATGCCACCCTCCTAGGGCCGGAGGCAGAAAAGGAAGGCAAGGGGGTGGGGGGACGGTGCCTCCAGGACCCCGTCTGCAGGCTCTCGTTTGTGGGGCCCCCTATGCAGGGGTGGGGGGACTCAGGCTCCCTCCAGGTGAGGCTGCCGTGTGGGTCCCTGGGCAGGCCCTTCCTCCTGGGGTTAGCTGTCACAGGGGATGAGGGGCCCAGGGGCGCTGCTGGGGACGCAGGGCCCCCCGTCCTGGAAGGGGAGGCCATCCGCGGCCTGCTGTGGCCCGTGCATCTCCACGGGAGGACAGCTGAGGCTGGCCGCTCCCTGCCCGCTGGGGCCAGGAGCCCCTCCCGTGACAAAGATAAAGGCCACTCTGGCCATCCAGCTCTAGATGTTGGCGTTCACTATGGATGCTTTTAATTTTGTATGTTACTTGTTTATTTCTAAGAATTTCATTAATGAACATGTATTTTTTTTCTAATCAAGAAAGTGGGTATTAGTATTTTAGTTTAATTTTTTAAAACAATTTTAATTTGAGAGAGCACGAGCAGGGGGATCAGCAGAGGCAGAGGGAGAAGCAGACCTCCCGCCGAGCAGGGAGCCTGATGCGGGGCTGGATCCCAGGAGTCCGGGACCATGACCTGACCTGAAGGCAGACGCTTAACTGACTGAGCCCCCCAGGCGCCCCTTGGGTATTTTTTTTTTTAAAACCTTTTCGTGGCTTGCTTCTGCACCCACAGGTGACCTCACCTGCTGGTAATGGGCCAAGCGAGTCTCATGGCTCCCTGGGTCCCAACAGAGTCAGGGCCTCCTGGGTCCTCCAGGGTCAGGGCTGGGGTTGGGGGTGTCAGGGACAGGGCTCAGGGGCACGGGCTGCTTTCCCGAGGCTCCTTGAGGAAGGACCTTCGTTTTGTCTGCTCACCTGGGAGTGGCCGGTCCCCTTCAGGAGCAGGAAGATCCAGTTCTCAGTTCCTCCTTTAAGAAAAGTAGAGAGTAGAGCGGAGCCGTGTCCCCTGGCTCTGCGGTGCTGGAGTGGGGACATCTGGAAAGTGGGTGCCTGCCTGCTGAGCCTGGGCTGCCCTGACCTCTGCCAGGGCCAGAGGAGCTCTGGGGCCAGCAGGGGCAGGCCCGCCCAGCAGGTGGGCAGGGTCCCGGCTTGCTGTCCCCAGCTCCAGCGCCGGGGCCCACCACCACCAGGGCAGTACCCACATGGAGGACTGCTTTCCAGTTCTGCCGCCACAGCCACCGGCTGCCTGCATCTGGGTAGCTGGCCTTCACAGCCCTCTGTTTCGCCGCCTGGAACTCCTTGCCCCGGTGCTTAGTCCTCGGTAGCCCCCACTGCCTGGGGCCTGGCCCCTTGCCTGTGTTCCGTAGCGGGTGCTTTTGGCTGAGGGGTGCTAATGGCCTGCGACAGCAGCCCCCTCTTGGCTGGGAGCCCCTAGACCCCCCAGCCTGCCCAGTGCCTTCATCCTGTGCCTGCTCACACCCCCAGCCGTGCACACACCCCGTGCTCCCCAACACCTGTGGCCTCCGAGCTCCTCCCTCACCCACCTGCCCCTCCTGCCTGCCTCTCGGCCTCATCTCCAACACCCCCTCCAGCCCCCAGCCCCACCGCTTGACGCCCGTGGATCCCTCCTGCCACGCTCCTGTCAGGGACCCTATCATGGAGGGCTCCCCTGGTGTTTGGGGCCCCTTGGAACTGGCCCAGAGGAGACAGGGCTGGGGTCACCCCCCACAAATGCCCAGTTTTCTCTCACGAAGCCCGCCTTGCTCAGAGCGCAGCTCTGAGGAGGGAGGACGAGGGGGCACTCTCAGGGAGGCAGCCTCCAGCGGCCTTTTCTCCCAGAGGCTCTGGCCCCCGGATGGTGTTGGATGTTGGTGCTGGTGCTTTGTTTTCAGCCAGGTGAGGCTGCCAGGGTCTGCAGTGGACATCGGCACAGTGGTCACCCGGGGGCATCGTCAGGAACCGTGGCAGACGTGGCTGAGGCTAACTCCCATGCTGGGAGGGCTGCCTGGCTCGGGGGACCCGCCACTGAAAGGGGTCGGGGCCATGCTGAGGCCAGGACCCGGGATGCTGGCCGCGTGGGGTGGGCAGGGAGGTCCGGCCTCGCGGCCCGCTGGGGCTGTGCTGCTCACGGCAGAGCGTCTCACGGCTTCCACCGTGGCAAGTGTCTGGAGGGGGCGGGAGGCAGGCAGGCCTTGCTTTTCTGAGCTCTTTCCTAATCCTGCTTCGGGGGAACTTGGCGGTTTGTGGGAAACCTGGAGGGTCTGTTTCCAAAGCAGGGAAAGCAAAGGTCAAAACACTTAGAACCCAGTTTTTAAAAGCCTAGAAAGTTATGCGGCTCTTGAGAGATGTTTCAAGGGCCCCCTGAGAATCTGACTACCCCGCCAAGAAGGAGGAGGAGGCAGGGGTGCAGCTGAGGTGACCCCAGAGCCCAGAACCGTGAGAATAGCGTCCAGGACCCAGCTAGCGTCTGGAATGCACTTAGAAACAACTCTGACCACAAAAAGGTCCCACAAGGAAGATGGTACAGTGTGAGAAGGCCGAAGGCGGGCAGGACTTCCAGGCCGCGGTCCCAGGTTGGAGTGGTGAGGGGGGCCGGTGGCCCCCAGGAGTCCCCCCCGGGCAGGGCCGCCCAGAATGGGCACCTGCGGGCTGCGGAGACAGGTTCCCACCACCACGTGGCCAGGGAGGCCCCCCAACAGCTTCCTCGTGAGGACCCAGTTTGCTTAGCCAGCTCACTCCTGGCCCCGGGGGGAAGCCAGCACAAGTCTGTGTCCTGCCAGCCGGTTTCTCCATCGCAGTGGCCGTGAAGCCCCTGGAGCAGGGTCTGCGTGCAGGCGGACAGGGTCTGTCCTCAGAGTAGCAGGGACACAGCCAAGTCCCACGATGCTCTTGGAGAGATGCAGACCCTCTGCTGGGTCGGGGAGCGTGGGGTGGGCTTGCATCTCTGGTGCTGCTTTGGGCCCTGCATTCCCAGGAAGGGACGAGGAGGGCAGGGGTGCAGCCCCCCAACTCCAAGCCGACATTAGGCATCTGTCCTGCAGCACATGGACCCATGGGTCCAACAGACGTTCTCAGAACATCTTCCTGCGGGGTCGGGGGAAGGCATGATCGAGAGGAGGGAGCCCCGTCAGTACTGTGGTGGAGGCCACAGTCCAGGCAGAGACACCCATGCTGAGGCCGTGGCCACCAGGGGATGGTGGTGGGGAATCCAGAGGGCGTTGTCAGGGGTCAGAGGCAAGGAAGGGTCTCGAGCGGGAAGGGGGAAGACGGGCTTGATCCAGAGCTGAAGCGGGATGTGCGCGGGCTCAGCAGGTCTGACCGGAAGCGAGGTCACCCTGGGGCCTGCGGGAGTGGCCAGGGGCTCCTGCCGGACAGCAGGGCACACAGCTGGGTGCAGGCCAGGGCCGAGCTGCTGCAGCTCGGGAGGGGGCTGGTCTGCCAGGCTCCGTGCGGACGCCACAGTGCGCAGGTGGTCCCAGGGACCTGCGGCGGAGCACCATGCCTGAGCGCTGACAGCCCCGGGGCTCCAGGTGAGCAGTGAGGGGCGGGTCTCTGCAGGCTGGGAAAGCCGTCCCCGGCCCTGGACCCTGACTCAGCGACCTCAGTGGCAAGTGCTGGGGGCTTCGCCTGGCCTCGGCCTGCACCCCGCGGCCTGCCCTGGCCTTAGAGAGGACCCGGCGGAGTAGGAACCCCCACGAGCTTGCCGCGGGGGTCAGCATGGCTGCAGTATGAGCCCCTGACTGCAGTAACGGGGGCTGGCGCCACCAGGGCAGGGACGAGGGTCACGGGATGTTCCAGGCAGATGAGGGCTTTGTGGGAGTCACAAGAACAAGGAAGGTTTTGGGGGTGAGTTAGGCCAGGACAGGGGGATAGGAGACCCCAGGTCGCAAGGGCAGGAGACTCAGGACATGGGAGGGGGCTGTGGTTCCAGCCCCTGGTGGTGCTTTCAAGGGGTTGTGTCCCACAGCTTTGGGCCTGGCTCCTTCTGACCCCCCCAGAGCGCAGGAACCATCATCATTAGGGTTCCAAGGTCCGGGCCTGTGCAGGGAGGGAAGTCAGGTTTATGCCATGGGAGGATGACCCCTAGGCGTGGCCAGAGCTACTTGAGGAACAAGTCTGGTCCCCCCCCCCCCCCCCAGGTTTGCGGTAGGGAGACAAAGCCCCCACTTCCAGCTGACCCTCAGTCACCTTGCAGGGTCCGGCCAGGAGGGGTCCTGAAGCAGTCTGCCTCCCCGTCTCGCCCCCACCCAGAGGGGCAGTGAGTGCGGTCCTGGGCAGGGGGCTCCTGGCGGCCTGTGGCTGGCCATGCTGCAGGGGTGGCTGGGACCCCGAGGAGCCTGTGCCTGGCTCTGGGGGCAGTTGGAAACCGTGCACCCCGCAGGCCATCTGGGGGAGGCAGGCTCGGGCCCCAGGGTGTTGTGTGCCCAGAAGCTGGGGGTCATCGGGGTCTGGGGCGTGGGCAGTGTTGCCCACAGCTCAGGTGTCCGAGGAGCCTGACGGCAGCCCTGACCTCTCCCTCCAGTCAGTCGTGCCTGGAAGGCCCTAGACATCTGTATCCCTGGCTCAGGGCTCGGGGCCGGGGCAGGCGAGCTTCCAGGACCGCTGGGCTGCTCCGGAAGCTGGGCAGCCAGCGTGGATGCTCGGGGCTGGTAAAACAGAACTCCTCCCGCTCTAGCACCTGAGTGACCGGCTGCAGAACTGGCCCTGCCCCAGAACAGAGCGGGGCCTGGGGCTGGGGCGCCACCCCGCTCCGCAGTGCCCTGGCCCCCTCTCAGGACATGTGGCACAGGGTCCGGCTCTGTCGGCATGAGCCTGGGGAGCCCAGAAACAGAGGTGTGTCCTCTGAGTGTGGCTTCTGTGGGCCTGGTCAGAGGAGAAGGCGGGGTGCAGGGGGTGGCCCTGCCTTGTGCTGGCCAGTGCGGGGGGCTCCCTCCTAGCCGGCGTCTCCTCTCCTGTATGGCAGGCCCCATCTTGATTCTCTGCCTCCCTGTGACCCCAATGCCACACAGCACCCCACTCCTGCACACCCCCCCGCCCCTCGAGGCCACCCTCACTAACACACCTGCTGTTTGCCACAGTCACTGCATCCAGCAGATCCTGGAGGCGGTTCTCCACTGCCACCAAATGGGGGTCGTCCACAGGGACCTCAAGGTGAGTCCCCCACCCTGCTCTGTGTCAGCTGTCTGCGCCTGCATGTCTTGCAAAAGGAGGCCCTGGAGGGGCAGGGGGAGTGCCAGGAGATCCTCTGTGTGCGCGCGAGTGTGCATGAGCACCTGTGTGTGTGCACGAGCACGTGTGTGTGGATGAGCACCTGTGTGAGTGTGCATGGACACGTGTGCATGTGCACGAGCACGTGTGTGTGGATGAGCACGTGTATGAGCACCTGAGTGTGCATGAGCACCTGTGAGTGTGCATGAGCATGTGTGTATGAGCACATGTGTGTGTGCACGAGCTCGTGTGTGTGTGGATGAGCACCTGTGTGAGTGCACGAGCACGTGTGTGGCACGAGCACATGTGTGTGCGTGAGCACGTGTATGAGTGTGCACAAGCACGTGTGTGTGGATAAGCACCTGTGTGTGTGCACGAGCACGTGTGTGGATGAGCACCTGTGTGTGAATGAGCACCTGAGTGCACGAGCACGTGTGTGAATGAGCACCGGAGTGTGCAAGAGCACGTGTGTGAGTGTGCAAGAGCACCTGTGTGGATGGGCACCTGTGTGTGAGTGCACAAGCCTGTGCTTGTGAGTGTGCACGAGTACGTGTGGGGGGTGCGTGTAGGTGCATGAGAACGTGTGCATGTGTGTACTTATGTGGGTGTGCATGTGAGAATTCACATGCGTGTGCATGTGTGAGAGAATGCACGTGTGCGTGCATGCACGTGTGTGTGTGTTTGCACACGTTCCTCCTTCGCCTCCATGCTCCAGGACTGAGAGGGCAGTTGTCAAAAGTCAGCCTGTCAGCACATGTGCACTTGGGGTTTCTTTCTGGGCTCCAGGTGAGAGAGACCCGGCAGGGGGGCATGTAGGTGATGTGCGTGCAGGTGGGGCTGATGCCAAGGGAGCAGGGGTGAGGGGCCGGCCTTGCTGGCCTCTGCCAGTGTCCAGCCCATCCTGCAAGTCTCTGCTGCCCCTGGCTCAGCTCTGGGCAAAGCGGTTTGTCACCCCCCAGGGCACAGTGTGGCCTCAGGAGGAACAGCACCCCTTCTGCCTTCCCTGCCTCCCAGGCTCTCCAGAGCTGGGTTCCTGTCCCCTTTTTAGCTGGGCTGGGGGGTGGGGTGGGGGGAGGGCCTGTCATTCCGGCCGAGAGTCCCTAGGTGGTATTTGAGACCAACCTTCCAACGCTGAATGGGGTCACACCTCCCTTGGGCCACCGAGGGGTGTGCATGTGAGCTGATCTTTGCAGGGGCTGCTTTGGGGCTGGTGTCCCACTAGAAGCAGGCCCGGGACCCCCTTCCCACGCCCTTCTCTGCACGTCCCACACGGTCTGCCGTCCCTCCGCCTGCGCCGCAGGCCTGCTTTGTGGGCCTGTGCTGTGGGCCTCACCGTCTGTCACCACGTCTGGTCTGAAGCAGCATCACGTGGAGGCGCGCATCCCCACCTTGTCCCTGGACCCCATGATTCATAGCTCACCCTGAGGCCACGGCATAGGAATGAACATAGGTGTTCCCCCCCAGCCCAGGCGTGACCCGGGGCAAGCAAGCCTTGCTGAAAAGAACAAAAGGGTAGGACAGTGGGCCTTCTGCCTCCTGCCAGGTGTGAAGGGCAGACGGCCTCTCTTCCCGAGGGGACCCCTGTCTCACCCCTGTCTCCTGATGGGGACAGACCCGAGGCGGTACAGTGCTGGGTTTGCTCTCAGCCGAAGTGGGAAGGGGGGAGAGCAGAGGGGTTTGGCATCATGTCAGGGGGCTGGGGGGGCCAGGGGTCCCCAGCCCTTCCCTGGGGCCGAGCCCCTCATCTGTGGAAGGCCTGCCCGGCCACCTCAGACCCCTCGATGTGGTTGCAAGGGGAGGTGAGGGCCCCTAGCCCGGCTCACGTTGGGAAAATGGAGATGCTGAGGGGGTCTGCCACGGGGCTGGCCTCCTTCGTGGGTTCCAAGGGCCGCGTGTCACCTTCTAACACCTCAGGGTTACGAGCAGTGTTAACACGGTCTTTTCGGAGGTGTGTGCCTTTCTTGGGGCACTGCAATGGCGGTGTGGCCTCCGTGGGCCTGCCTGTCGGGAGGGCGGCCCGGGGAGGGGGCCGAGGGCCCCGGAGCCCCGGGCGGTCAGGAATAAGGAAGCCCGCAAGCTCTGTGTGCTCCACGCTGAGCACTGGAGGCGGCCAGGCCTGGGTGAGCAGGGCCCTGTGGACAGGAGCATAGGGACCCCCGTGGTGCTCCCATGCGCCTGGGGACGAGTGCCCTCTCAGCCTGCCCGAGGGCGCTGCGCCCTGAGGCAGGGGGGCGCGGGGGGGCCTTTCCCACCTGTGGGCGCCACCAGACAGGCCGAGGCAGAGCGATGGGCGGCCAGACGCTCTGCGCTGCCTCCTCCCTCCTGGCCCTCAGGGGGGCACCACCCCTCAGGCAGCCGCCCACCGTGTCTGAGCACCCAGATGTGGGACATCGGGGGGCACCGCTCGGGTCTGCTCGCCGCGTTCTCGGCCTGGGTGTGACAGCTCCCCTCTGCCCCCGGGGCTCACGACGAGTCTGCCGGGGCACCACCCACACAGCGGGCGTCAGACCTGTGCGCCCCAGACTGCAAACCGCCGTCCCGTCTGTTGTGCCCCCTTCCGTCCGTGCCCCTTGGGTGTAAACCACACGCGCACTGGCGGGTCGCCTTCCCTGCAGCCCGAGAACCTGCTCCTGGCCAGCAAGTGCAAAGGGGCGGCCGTGAAGCTGGCGGACTTCGGCCTGGCCATCGAGGTGCAGGGGGACCAGCAGGCATGGTTTGGTGAGTGTCCAGCCGGCCGGCCAGAGCGAGGGCGGGGGTCTGCTGCAGCCTCGGCCCTCACACCGCCCCTGCCCTGTCCCCAGGGTTTGCTGGCACGCCAGGCTACCTGTCCCCAGAGGTCCTGCGCAAGGAGGCCTATGGCAAGCCGGTGGACATCTGGGCGTGTGGTGAGACCTCCGTGGAGGCGGGTGGGGCCACGGGGTCACGGTGGAGGGAGCCCTGCGCCTGTGCCACGTGCACCGTGCCAGGCCCGCCCCTGGACTGACTCACGGGGCTGCCGCCAGCCAGGAGCCCTCTCCCCACACAGACTAGAATTGCTAACGTGACCCTGGCAGTTGCCGAGAAGCCCACCACCCCAGTGCCCGCCCTGCACCCAGAAGAGAGGTCTGGGCCAGAGGGAGCACTCGGTGCTGGAGGCGGGGGCGCGCAGACCACTGTGGCAGGGCTGCCTCCTTGGTGGGGGTCTCGGGTGGAGCTGAGCCCTGGATGTGATGACCCTTGTGTTCCAAGGGTACGGGGATGGGCTGTGGGTGGGGGTGGGGAGCCGGGGGTGGGGTGGGGGACGAGGCTACGGGGGAGGGGGCCCAGAGAGTGGGGGCTGGGAGCAGGGAGGTGGCGGGGGGAGGCTGGGGGTGGGGCGGCAGTGTGAGGCCTCCCCCCTGCTCTGCACAGGGGTGATCCTGTACATCCTGCTTGTGGGCTACCCACCCTTCTGGGACGAGGACCAGCACAAGCTGTACCAGCAGATCAAGGCAGGAGCCTACGACGTGAGTGCTGGGACCCCTTCTGCCCCCTCCCCGTCTGGGGGGGAGGCCTGGATTGAGTGACACCACCTGCTTCCCAGAATCAGGACCCACATGAGAGCCGTCAGAGGATTCTGGCTCCTGCCAGGGGAGGGGGCTTCAGACTCTCTCGTGCGTTGCTTCCTTTTCTAGTTTCCGTCCCCCGAGTGGGACACGGTCACTCCTGAAGCCAAAAACCTCATCAACCAGATGCTGACCATCAACCCCGCCAAGCGCATCACAGCACACGAAGCGCTGAAACACCCGTGGGTCTGCGTAAGTTCCCCCAGCACGCGTGCCCTGGGGTCCTCTCCTCACTGCTGACGGGCCCCCCCGGGTCTCCTGGGGCTTGGGACCCCCTGGGGGGCTTGCAGGGCCTCCGTCTCTGGGAAGGTGGGGGCCCCAGGTAGAGGAGGCCCCGTCCTGTGTGTGAGGGGACGGAGAGTCGAGGCAGACCAGGGGCCTGGGTGGGGGACACAGCCGTCAGGGGGGCCAGGAGGGTGAGGGGGAGGTGGGGGCAGACAGGTGGAAAGGGGTGGTGGGCTCGGGGCCGGGCAGCAGGGGGCACAGTGGGGTGGCCCTGGGGGCGTGCCACGGCCCTGCTGTCCTGAGCCCTCTCCCTGAGGGCCGGAGCTGACCCCCCCTCGGAGCCTTTTGCAGGGTGTGACGGTCCTTCTCCCCACAGCAACGCTCCACTGTGGCCTCCATGATGCACAGGCAGGAGACTGTAGAATGCTTGAAAAAGTTCAATGCCCGGAGGAAGCTCAAGGTGAGACGTGGACCCCAGCGCCCAGCCCACCTGCCCCACGGCCCCCATTGCTCAGCCGCCCCGGGGGTGCCTGTGCCCTCGAGGGCCCCAGGCTGGGAGCAGGCCAGGCGAGGGGAGGCACCGGGGTCCCAGAGCACATGTGTCAGGTGGACCCAGCCCCCGCACGGCGGCGACACTCGAGGTCCCCCATTCCCGGGGCCGTGGAGGGGCAGGTGCCCCCAGTCGCTGCCACTTGCTTCAGGGTGAGCGAGTGGGCAGTGCCGGCCCCTCTCAGGCCTGGTGCGGAGAGCAGCCTGGCTGCGGGCAGGTGGGTGGGGAGGAAGCGGCCGGTGGGGAGCCCGTGGTTCTGAGCCCTCTAGAAGGGGTGCTCAGTGGGCGGCTGCTGGTTTTGCTCCGGAAGTAGGGGGCCGGTCCCCGTGCAGTTGGAGAGCCTGCAGGCTTGCTCTGCGAGTCCGTGACCCGGGTCCCGGAGGGTATCCCCCAGGCTGAGGTCCGGGCCGGGGTGTCCTGGCCTCAGCTGCATGTCTGTCCCCAGGGCGCGATCCTCACCACCATGCTGGCCACGAGAAATTTCTCAGGTGAGAACGGTCTTCTCCTGGAAGAGAAGGCTTCCGAGTGACCCGCCGCCACTGGCGGCCCGCCCCTCTCTCACGACCCCCGGCCCTTCTCCCCCACCGCTCAGCGGCCTGGCTTTCTGCCCGCCCGGGGCCTCGAGGCCTGGGCTCTGTGGGCAGCGCCTCAGGGTCCGCCACCCAGCCCGGTCCGGGAGGCCGCCCGGCACACGCCCCCGTCCCTGCGTGTTGGGTCTCTGTGTCCTCGCTGCCGCCGTCTGGGCTGCAGCTGTGTGTCTGTCCGGGTGTTGGTTGGCACCTCTGTGGCCTTGTTGTCCTGAGCCCCCTGAGCACCCGTTCTGTGTGGGAGCGGGAGGGGAGAGGAGGACCCGGGACCTCTCCGCCGAGCTCCGGACTCGCTGGCGGCCGCCCGCCTGGGGCGCTGGGGGTGGGCGGGGCTGGGGGCGTGCGGCTGCTTGAGGGGGGGGGGCTCTGTCAGTGACCCCAAGGCCAGGGGCCCTGGCAGGCCCACTGGGCCCAGCGTCACCCTAGGGGCAGGTGGCCCCCTGGCTGTCCTGTGGTTGTCTGTCGCCCGCGTCACTGGCTGCGGGAGCGTCTGGGGTCCGTCCCTGTTCGTCTGCATCCAGCACCCCATCCTGTTCCTTTGGCTGTGACACCGTGCTGCCGGGACTGGGGGGCATGTGTCACCCCAGCACTAACGGGTTCTGTCCTGTGCGCACGCCTGCTGGGCGCGAGAAGCCCCCGCTGGGGTTTTCTAAGGAGAAAGGAGGCAGACGCTTTTCAAGTGTCACTCAGTCCCGGTCCTGTTTCCACTCTCCTGTGAACGGGACTCTGGAGCCATCCGCCACCCAACTGTGGACTCTAATCTTCTTCTGCTTCCTTTGTCTCTCCCCCTCCCTCTCCCCTGCCCGCCCCCGTCTGTGTCCGCCCCTCCCTCGTCTCTAACCTGGTGCTAACAGTGGGCAGACAGACCACCGCTCCGGCCACAATGTCCACCGCGGCCTCCGGCACCACCATGGGGCTGGTGGAACAAGGTAGATGTTCTTGACCAGGGTCCCGCCTGTCGGCATGCAGCCCCCTCGCTGCACGCAGCTGCCGGCCAGGCCTCCAGAGCTGCCCCAGAGGCCCCGGGAGCCCCCGCTCCCGCCATGGACAGGTCCCACACGGAGCTCAGGGCGGCAGCCCCCGCTGTCCCAGCAGCCTCGGACCCTGTGCGCTAAAGGAGGGGCCAGGCAAGGTGACCCCTAAGCCGTGACTCCTCCCCCATGCATTTCACCCAGCCTTGGTCCTGGCCCCTGAGTCTGGGGGTCAGGAGACCCCTCTGGTTGGAGCCCTGTGCTCTGTGATCTCTCTCCTCGTTTGTCCGTCACAACCCCCATTCAGAGTGACCTTGACCACCCGTAGGAAGCCTCAGGGCTGCTGCTGGGTCCGAACCCTGAGTGGGGGCCCCGGGAAAAAGGCATGGGTGCAGAGGCCCTGCCCCATGAGGGCCCTCTTGCCAGCCCCGTGCACGACCTGCCTGGGCCGCCCCTGCACCCAGGCACCTGCACCGTGCTTCTCCCTGGCTCTCGCATGGAGCTGGTGGTCTGTGCTGGGTACGATGTGTGCATGTGAGCCCTGTGAGCCGCAGGACAGGGGGGCCTTGGCCGCCTGCCCCGAGAATGTCTTCTTGGTTCTCTCTACGAGGCCCCTGGCCTCCTCCCAAATGTATGAGGGGAGAGGCTGTTTTTGCCGAGCAGCTCTTCCCCGGGGGGCCTCAGGCCCGCTCCCGCCCACCCCCGCCGTGAGCTTAGCCAGAAGCCCTGAGGGCTAGCGGACTGCAGGACCTGCCAGGGGACCAGCCTGAGCCGAGAGTGGTGCAGGCTTAGGGCACACGGAGCCCGCTGCAGCCGAAGGCCGATCCCACGGTTCCCCAGACGGAGCCGTGGGGCCTAGTTTTCTGCAGGGGCCTTGTGCTTTGGCCCCAGCCAGACGTCCATCCCAGCTCTTGCCTCAAGATCCCACAGGGGCTGCCTTCCCTAGCGGCCTCCTCCTGGGTGTACTCCGGGTAGGTCCACCCTCGGGAAGGGCGGTCTGCGCCCCTCTTGTGAGCCCGGTGGACGTGTCCGGCAGGCAAGGCCCCCGGAGGGCCATCCTTAGCTTCCTTCCCAGAGCCTTTCTGGAGTGCATGAGGGGAGGGTGGGCCAGGGGCCGGGGAGCCTGGGCGCCCCTGCTGAAGCGCGGCTGCCCGGCGCAGTGAGCGAGGCCTCTGGGCTGCTCTCTGCGGGGCCCCTGCCTGAGCCCACCTGCCCGTTGTGGGTGTGCAGCGACTGCATGAGGCCGCGTGCATGCACAGCCCCCCGCCGGGGCGCCGAGGGCTGCTCTGTCCCGGGGGCGGTCAGTGCATGTGGACGGAGCCCAGCATGGCTGTCCCGGGCCACCAGCGAGGGGACGCGGCAGAGGCTGGGCCCTTGGGCAGAGGTCAGCCCACCTCAGCCAGTGGCACTGGGCGGGGGCCTCCGTTTCAAGGCCATTGCTCCTCCGCGGGGGACAGCCTCCCTGGTGACATGGCACCCCCACCCGAGGAGCCCACGGGGTCTCCGTAGAGACGATGACGCTGCGGGTTGACAGAGCGTCTTGGCCTTCCCTGAGAGGAGGCCGGGGAGCTGGGGTGCGGGTCGGGGGGCAGCCGTCGCCAGCCTGAGGACCCTGGCGTGTGTGGCGGAAGATCTCTGCTTGTCTACCAGGGGTCTGGGGCAGCTGCTCGGCCCCCTGGGGCTCCTGCCACGAACCTGTGCTTTTGACTGCCAGTGTAGACAGGGTCCACGGGGCTCTGGAGGCAGTGAATTTCTGGGAGCCGCTTTCAGGAGGGGCCCGGCCGTGTGTCCACACTGCGCCCAGACTGGCAGGCGTTGGTTAAAGGAAGTTCCTCAGGGGAAGTGTTTGGGGATTGGTTAAGTGGCTCGGCCGGTGTCTGCTGTGAGGCTCTCTGGAGTCTGGGCCCCAGTGGAGCCGTCTGAATCCGCAGAGGGGTGTTGCCGTCTTGGGGAGTGAGGTCTGGAGAGTGGGCTTTGAGAGTCAGGGACTGAGGGGGGACCCTCTCGAGACCCAGGGTCTCCATCTGCCTCTGCCCAGGGCCAGGCAGGGCTGGCTGTGTCTCCTCGGGGCGCTGGGCCGGCCCTGGCCTGCATCGGCTCCGACGCCGAGGCTGCGTGGTGCCGTGGAGCCCGGCCTGAATCAGGGTGTGGGCTCAGCTTGCCTGCCTGCTCGGCTGCCGAGACGCGTGCCTTCGGGATGGGCTGGGTGCCTCTTCCCTGCAGGCCCCTGGAGGTGCCCTGCCCCCTGCTGGTCAGCCAGCAAGGACGGGGGACCGGGGCTCCACGCCTTCAGCATGACTCCCTCTTCAGGGGAGGTGGGCTCCGCCTGTGCGCTGGACATGGGGAAGGGAGCAGAGGGGTGAGGTCAGCGGGGGTCAGGAGCGAAAGCTCCGCATCTGCAGGGCTGGCCTGTCCCTCCAGGGTGAGCTCCTGGGAGGCGGGTTGGAGCTGCCCCCTGGGGAGCTTTCCAGGGTGCCCACAGTGGGAAGCAGCCCTGGGGAGGTGGCATTTTTGGTCCTGGGATGCTCCTGGGTCCGGGCTGCCAGGGCTTCTGGGCGTGGTCCTGATCCAGCCTCCCCAGGTTTGGGGGGATGCGCTGCAGGGTGGGCAGGCCTGGTGGGCAAGGGAGGGGGCGCCAGTCACCCCTTTGCCTACTGGCATCCCGCGACACTTCTCACGGGGGGAGGCCTGCCGGACCAGGGGGACGGGCCAGGGGGCGGACCTCTGGTGACACACGGCCCGGTGGATCCTGCGGGGGAAGCCTTTGAGAAAGCTGATGGGTTGCGGGGCTGGAGACCGCGCCCGGGGTGGCACTTGGACGGCCCCACAGGGCTCTCTGCCCGAGCACATCACCCGTGTCCCTGCACAGGGCCCGGAGGGTGGCAAGGGGCACCTTCACAGAGGGAGGCGGGCCGTGGGACCCTGACAGTGGTTCTCAAACCAAAGCAGGGTTAGGATCTCCTAGAACAGATGCCCCACCACCCCCTGGGAGGTCTGGGGTGGGCCTGGGTGCTGCTGGTGTGGGGACCCCACTTTGAGAACCACTGCCTCTCCCCGGGTTGTGGTGTGCACATCGCTCTGATGTCACGGCCTCCAGGGATGTCTCCCGCAGTCCAGGCCCCCCCCTGCCCCCCATGGACCACCGTGGGCCCTCGGGGCAGGCAGCTCCGCCCGCAGGACTGGCTGGCTGGCTGGAGGCTGTGGAGCCTGTGGCGGGGTGGGGGGTAGAGCACTCCTGGACCTCCCCCCGCCCGACGTCAGCCCCACGGGTGGGGCAGCGCTTGGCTGGGAGCGCGGGCGGGGTGGGCAGGAGCAGGCGGGGTCCTGGGCCGCACACACTTGCACCCCTGCCTGACCACACAAATCTTGTTTTCTTTGTTTCCCTCACGACTACTCCCTCCCTCCTCACCTTTCCCTTCCCGGAAGGTAAGCTGACTTCCTTTGGTTTGGCAGCCGTACCGTTACCGCTGACCGCTGCGGAGGGCCCAGATGCCGGGGGGCTGGGGGGGGCAGGCGCCGGGCTGCCCTGACCTCTGTGCGGTCGCGTTGGGGCGTCCCACAGGCGGGGGGAGTCTCTGGAGCCCTCCCCGTGGGTGTCACCCTGCTGAGCCCACTCAGAGCCCAGGGGCCTCAGGAGTGGACAGAGGGGCCCGTGTTGGGGCCGGTGCTGCCAGGGCAAGGCCGGGAAAGTGACGCCAAGGAAGTGCCCACAGGACTTCCAGGACTGGTTCCTGAAGAACCAGGCAGCCCCTTGGGTGCTCTGAGCCAGGGGCCTGGGCCTGTGGGAGGGGGCCAGGAGGCTGACTGCCGGCAGGCACCCGAGCTTGGGACAAGCCCTTCCCTTGCCTGGGTGGGTGGCCAGCTGCAGCCCACCCCGGCCCCAGAACACGGAGAATGACAGGCGGGTGCCCACCCCCCCAACCTGGTACCCCATCCTGTGTTCCTGTCCGGGGCGGGGGGAGCACCCTGCCGCCTTCTTGGCAGAGCCTGCACGCTGCCCACAAGCCGCGGGGCCCAGGTGGGAGGGGAAATCTCGGTGTCCTCCAGGGTCATGGCGAATGGCCGGGGGAAGGGGCCTGTCCCAGGGATGAGGTTTGGGCAGCCCTGGGTTTCCCGCGGGCCTGCTCCAGGATGGCCAGGCTCAGAACTGGGGACAGCCCCGCTCCCCCCCCCCCGGCCCCCGAAGCCCCCCTGCCTCAGTCCCTGGGGTCACCTGCCTGCCCGCTCGCTCTCGGGGATGTCCAGAGCCTGGCTGGCCCCCGAGGTGACCTCACACTGACAGGGGCGGGAAGCAGCAGGCCCCAAGCCCTTTGCTCATGCTGCCTGTTTCCTCCCAACGCAGCAGCCAAGAGTTTACTCAACAAGAAGGCTGACGCGGTGAAGGTGAGTGCACTTGGGCCTGGGGCCCACCCTGCGGCTGGGCCTCCCTCCCTCCATGCAGGGCCAGCCCTGGGCACGGGTGTGGCTCCCCCCATCTCCCCCTCGACCTTCTGTTCCTCTCTCCACAGCCCCAGACAAACAGCACCAAAAACAGCACCGCTGCTACCAGCCCGAAGGGGACACTTCCTCCGGCCGCCCTGGTACTGAGCCCCTCTGCACCCCGCTTCCAGGCCCTCCCGCACCCTGGCTGTGTGGTGGCCGCCTGTCAGGAGGCCTGGGGTGAGGGTGGGGTCCAGCCCCAGCCTACCCCCGATGGACAACCCCTGGCCCTCCAGCTCCCTCTTGCCGCGCGGGTGTGGAGTGAGGGCCGAGCCCCTTTCGGGCAGTCTTAGGGCTGTGCAGGGGCCTGGCCCGGTGGGGAGACACGGCCCGGCTGCCGCAGGGGCGCACCCTCTGGGAGGTGGGGGCTTGGGTTTCTCCCAGGAACGATGGGTGGGGCTGGTCTTGGCTTTGGAGCCTCCCCACCCAGTGATCTGCAGGGAGATAAGCTCTCTTGGCAGCTGGCCTGGTGATGCCGCAGCAGCAGGCAGGGCGGCCTCCATGGGAGGCCGTGCCCCATGGTCCCCGAAGCTGCCGGCCTGTGGCTGCCCGGGAGGGAGAGGCCTGGGGGCTTCTGGGAAGGAGCAGGCAGACAAGTTCAGAGGAGCCTGCTGCCTCTGTCCAGGCCCCCCCCCCCCCAGCTGGTGGTGTGGGTTGTGGGAGTGCAGGGGTGCTGTGTGCCCACGGCAGCCCGCGTAGAGCCAGCCGCCCCAAGAGGTCGGGGTTGGCTGGTGCCCAGGTTCCGAGCCGTGCAGAGCACGCGTGCTGTCCCCAGGGAGCCCAGCCACACACTGCCCGCAGGAAGGCGAGGCTCGCCAGGTGGCCATCCGGCACATGGCGGCCTCAGCCCAGGAGGGGAGGGTCCCACACAGCCAGCCCCATCTCGGACCCCGTCCATCCCACATGCCACCCCCACCCCCATGACATCTTCAGAACCCTGTCCCCCCATCTCGGGGCAGGGGGTCAGGCAGCAAAGGGAGGGGAGGACCTCTTTCCCCGCCCACGGCCCCCACGCTCTCTGCTGACTCCGAGGGCGCACATGCTTCTCTCTGGCCACCCTGGGCCCGCAGGCCTCCCCAGCCCGCTCCGCCTCCTGCCGTCCACGCTCAGCTGCCCTCCTCCCCTCCACCCGCCGCCTCCGCCTCTCACTTTCCTCCTTCCTTCCTCTGTGCTTCCTTCTGTAGGAGCCTCAAACCACCGTCATTCATAACCCCGTGGACGGGATCAAGGTACCGCCGCCCCCTCGCCTCCCCCTTGGGAGCCTGTGCTCAGGCAGGAGGCAGGCGCCCTGGCCAGGGGCAGGTCTGGGGTGCTGCCCCAGGGAAGCCCCCAGGCTAAGAGTTGGCAGGTGTGCAGGGACCCCTCTTGAGGCAGGACCGGGCCTCAGAGGTCCACGGCCGCCCCTCGGGACAAGGCCCCAGGTGCTGCGCTCTCGGGCATGGCTGTACCGGGTCCACCGTCCATGGACGGTGGGGGCCCAGAGCAGGGTCCACTTCTCAGGACCCTCCATGCTGTCCGTCTGGCGCTGGCCATGGCCAAGCCCAGCATAGCCGGGAGCCAGGCGTGCAGGGCGGCCTCTGGGGGTCCCCGGGAGGAGGGAGCAGCACAGACGCCCTTCCCCCCCCCCCCTCCATTGCTCACCTCTGCCCCCAGTGCTTCCTGCTGAGCCAGCCCGTGTCCTCCGTTGCTACTCTGTGCTCCGGCATCTCCCACCACATCGGCACCTGCGCCCGGGGCCGGAGAAGGGGCTGGCTCTTGGGGTGGCGGGCAGCCGAGCTGTGTTTCTAGGACCATCACGCCCCCAAGTCTGCAGACTCCCACCCAGCCCTGGGTTGCCCAAAGGGCGCCCCACACCCTGGCTGTGGGCCAGGACCAGGGGACCATGGGCCACTGCCTCTCAGCGAACCCAGGCTTGAGGTGCCAAGAAGGGCCTGGGGGTCCTCCTGCTTTTTGGCTCGGGACGGGTGCTCCTGGGACCCCGTGTCTGGGGTGAGGCTCGTGTTTTCCTTGCAAGAGGCCTCTAGACAGCCTTCTGGGGCTGTGATGTGAGCCCCAATCCTACAACCTGCAGACCTCCGCCCACCCCATCTCTGGGCAGGGTCTCGAGCAGGGCATTCAGTAGGGGCCAGAGGGAGGCCCTGGAGGACTGTTAGTTAGGGTGCTCTTTCTGAGGAGGAAGCAGGCCTCCTGGGAACCCCGTGACAGTTGATCAGTACCTGGTTTTGGAGTGGGGCGGGAGGTGCTGGGGCTGCCTGTCTACCCTCGGAGGCTTCCTCAGGGGAGAGACCGGGCCTGACTGGACAGTCCAGGCATGAGGGGCAGGCGGCCCCTTCTGGGGCAGGAGCTGTGGGTATGGCTGCACCCTGCCTGGGCCAGCCAAGGCTATTGGGGACCTCCTGGAAGCTTCCGGTCCTGTCTGCCCAAGTACCTGGGCTGGGGGTGCCTTTCCACTTCACCGGGGGTCCCAGAGAGCCCGTTTTCCTCTCTTACGGGAGCTGTCCGAGCACAGGGAGTCTTTCCTCTGGGCGTGTCTGGTCGGGAGAAGGCGTGTCTGGGCCAGGGCCCTTGGGTACGTGAGCGGCCTGGGGCCGGGTGACCACCTGTGGGATGCTGGGGCAGTCACCTCCAGGCCCCATGGAGGCGGGTGGGACAGAGCCTGCGTCCTGATGCGCTGCCTCCCTGTGTGTCCCCAGGAGTCCTCGGACAGCACTCACACCACCATAGAGGACGAAGACACAAAAGGTGCGTGGGGGGGGGGCGCGGGGCGGCAGAGCATCTGTGATGTGGGCACGGTGTGCCCACGGGGGGCTGCCCAGCGCGTGCGGGCCGACAGGCGGGCGCCCGGACCAGCGGGGGAGCTCCCACCCTGCGGGGGACCAAAGGTCGTGGTTGAATTTGCTCCGTTTCTTCTCTTGGACTTCCTGAAGTCTGTGACTCCGCCTGGCTAGCAGGTGCTTAGTAGACAGCCAGCAGCGGGGCTTTTCCTGGGTTCCGGCTGTTTCCAGGCCAGTGAGGGCGGGTGGGCTGCACCTGTGCAGGGTCAGCGGCCTGGCCAGGCACCCCTTCTTCTGCTCCCAGCTCTGTCTGCCTCCCCAGGGAGGGCAGGGGGGCGTGTGGGGCCACCTGGGCCACACGCTCACAGAGATCAGGCCTGAGGGCCCTCAGGGCTGCCCCGGCGCCTGATGGCCAGCCATTCTGCCCATCTGGGGGACACAGTGCGGGGAGCACAGGCCCCTGGACCAAGGGAGCGTGGCTGTTCGCGTGGTTTCCACAAACAGACTGACGGAGGCCTGAGCTGTTGGCACGGAGGCCTCCCTGAGGCCCTGTCGTTGCAGTTCTGTCTCCCTGGCCCTGGGGGGTGGGGGGCCTAGGTGGCCAGAGCCTGCAGGAGGGTCGCCCAGCCCAGACCCCAGCCACACCCTGGCTGGCTGGGAGAGCAAACGCGGGGCGGGCCCCTCCCCCACACCTCCAGCCCGGCCTCCCGTGTGCCCACTGCCCCGGGACCCCACCGTGAGCCGGGCCGGGGGTTCTCCAGCCTGACCCCACTCGCCCTGTCCTGTGTCCGTTCTTCCCGCGTGCCCCCTCCTGTCTGCCATTTCGCGTCTCACGTGTCTGCTGCAGCCCCCAGGGTCCCTGACACCCTGAGCTCTGTGAGGAGGGGCTCGGCGAGCTCTGAAGCCAACCCCCCACCTCATGTCCGCCTCCCGGTCGCCCCCTGCCCACTCTGCGTGAGTTGGTGGGCCCCTGCTGTGGGCGGGGTCTCCCTGAAGGGCACCCCAACAGCCCGTCTCGGTAGGGATGCCTCGGAGCTGCAGAGCAGACAGCGTGGGCTCTCCCGGGGCCCCCTCGGCCCCACGGAGGCTCGGGGCTGCCTCTGCCCCTCCAGCCAGCCCTCCGCGGGGGCTTCTCCCCTGGCCCACAGGGCCATGGGCCCCCCCCCCCCCCCGCCCCAGATCCAGGCTCTGGTCAGGCGCGTCTTGCTGTGGAGACCAGCCGTGGGGCGGGAGCGAGCCGGGCCCTCCCTCCTCCGCCCCTGCTCACCTCTGCCTCCTGTCCACACCAGCCCCCAGGGGCCCTGACATCCTGAGCTCCGTGGGGAGGGACTCAGGGGCCCTGGAAGCTGAGGGCCCCCTGCCCGCTCTGTGTAAGTAGTGCCCCCAGGCCTGCTGCCCCTGCCCTGCCCGGCTGCCCGAGGCTAACAGGCCGGGCCCGGCTGGACGCCTGGCACTAACTCCGCAGGGCAGCTCCCAGCCACTCCGCGCCTCCTCCTCCCACCTGCGCCGCCGTCCACCCCAGGGTCTCCCGGGCCGTCCACGGTGCCTCCTGCCCTCCTCACACTGCCTGCCGGACCGTCCCGGTCACAGCACCCAGCGGGGCCCCAGGGAGGTACAGACACAGCGCCCTACAGAAGCCTCTCCCCACCACAGGCCTGCGGGCCGGAAGGGAGGAGGCGGGCCGTCGCGCCCGGCTGGGTCCTCCACTGGATTCTGCACACGCTGCGCTGCCTCTGTCCACTTCAGGGCGGGGGGGTACCCTCTGCCCGCAGCACCTGCCCGGCCATTCCTGGAGCCTCCCCCCGTGTGCCCCCGTCCCCCACGCTCCCCCGTCCCCACCCTCACCCCCGTCCCCCTCTGCGCCCCCACATCCGCCTCCATCCCCCACACGCTCTACCCCCGTGTCCCCCTCTGCGCCCCTTCGGCCCTCCATGTCCCCCTCTGCCCCCTTCTGTCTCTGGCTTGGCTTGTCAGCCCATAGCTTCTCTGTCCTGTGTGCCCGCCACCTGCCTCCTGTTCACGTCTGGTCTGTTCCACCCCAGCCCCCAGGCTCTCTGACATCCTGAACACGGTGAGGAGGGGCTCAGGGGCCCCGGAAGCCCAGGGCCCCCCACCCTGCCCATCTCCAGCTCTCCCAGGCCCCCTGCCCACCCTGTGTAAGTAGCACCTTGAGTGGCGCCCTGGCTGCTCCGTGGGGGCTCCCAGGGGTGTGGAGACCCCTGGCTGTGGTACAAGGCCCCTCCCTCTGGGAAGGGGCCAGCTTTGGGGGGGGCAGAAAGGGGAGCACAGAGAAGTCCACATGGAGGTGTCTGGCCTCAGAACGTGAGTTTGTGGCCGAGGACGGGCGTGTGTGAATGAGTGCGTGTAGGAAGGAATCAGAAGCAGTCGGGGTGGACTAGAGCCTCACGCCTGTGATCTGTGGGCCCGCGTGACGCAGACAGTGCTGGCTGCAGGGCCCGAGGGCGGGGGGCGGGGTGAGGGGGTGAGGGGCCGGCGCTGGGCTGGGGCCCCTCCCCAGGCAGGGAGGGAGGAGCCGGCTGCCCCAGCCTGCCTGCTGACTGCCGCCGAGATCGCTTACAGGGATGGGTGACACCCCAGGGCCGCACCCCGCCCACCTGCCAGGAGACACCGGGCAGGGAGGTGCTGTCGGATGAGAGGCTGCGGGCCAGGGGCTGGGCATGGCTGGGGAGCGGCTGGGTGAGTGCCGCGCCTGGGGGCCAGGGCAGGGTGGAGGAGGAGCGGAGCACCACAGCCGTGGGGGGCACGGGGGCTGCAGGCAAGCTGAGCCCACCCCAGCGGCCGCGAGGGCATGGGCCGGCCGCTGGACAGCAGTGCCCCCCCCCCCCAGGAGCGCTCTGTGCTTGGCCAGAGGGCCGAGGGCAGGTGCAGGTTCCTGGGCTGGCTTTTGGCCAGGCACTGGAGGCCCGTCACGGAGGCGGGGTGGTCTCGTGGTGAGGGAGGGGGGCTGGGCTGTGGCAGGTGCGCAGCAGAGCCTGGGGAGGGGTCGGCAGCATCCTGTCCCCATTTCCTTGGCCACTCTTGGCCTTGGTTTCACAGATGAAGAAGCAGAAGCTGGGTACGTGGAGAGGTGCCCCCAGGGGGGCCACCCGCCACGGGACCCCTGCCCAGGGGCTGCGCGCTGCCCTTGGAGTCTGGATAGTAGGCCAGGTTGGTGGCTCTGAGGACAGGGCATGCTGTGAGCTGAGCACCCCGGGCTGATCGCTGGGGTCTCCCTTGGACCAAACTACAGACGTGGGGGCCACAAAAAGGGGCCCTGAGTGGGACTGAAGGGAGGGGCGTGGGGGGCACGGAGCGGCAGGACTGGCAGGACTGGGGGGGGGGGGGGGGCGCCTGGGGGGGCTGAGGCCCCCCAGGGAGCAGCGTCCTTGCTCCGGCATGTGCCCTCCCCCGAGTCCTCAGCACTGCAGCTCCTTCGGGTGCTGGGCGGTCCGCAGGTGGAGGACAGGGGTGGAGTCAGCCCCGAGAGGGGACTTGTGTGGAGCTGGCTCTCCAGACTCGCAGCTGTGGGCGTCAGAGTTGGGGTGCCCCCAGCTCCACCTCTGGGGCCAGGGTCCGCCTCACCCAGCACTGAGGCACAGGCGGCGGGGGGCTGTCCCCGGGGTGGGTTAGGGGCATGTGCCCATCGGCTGTCGTCATGTGTAAATGGGCTCGGTGCCCACTGGCCCAGGCCATGTTCCCCATAATCAGGGATTACACCCAATCCAGGCTGATCCTGCACAGCTGCCCGCCTGGGGTGGCTGGGGGCTCACAGTGCCCCTGCAGCTGCCAAGGGAGACGGATTAGGGCCAGCCTGGGGTCACTGGGGTCCCCCAGACCCTTTGCCAGCAGCCCGGCCTCCTGGCCTGTTAGCTAGTCCCAGGAGAGGGTGTGCATGAGCTCTGGGCCACCCCTGGACCCCTCCCGCACCACACCCTTGCCGGCGTTGCCTGGGGCGGGGTCACAGCTCACAGCCCCACCTCCCATGGAGACCCCACACTGTGCGCCCCTGGGGGAGGCAGGGCTGCCGTGCAGGGCAGGGGTGGGTCTGGGCAGCAGCCCCACTGCAGTCTCACCCTGCTTGTCTGCAGAATGCGTGTGACGCTGGTTCCCAAACTCCAGGCTCCGCGATGTGTGCTGTCACCCTGATTCCCTCTGGGTGACTTTATACTCTCATTTTGTATCACAACTGGCTTAAAAACACTCCACACGACTTCACTAAGTGGAAGATCGGACTGACCACAGTACGGGGTGCACGGGACATGAGACAGGACGTGTCGGGCTGTTCCGGCTGCGGGGCTGTTGGCCGAGGGCTCCCGTGGGCTGCTGCGGTGAAGAAGGGGGGCCAACCAGTGTTGGGTGTCGGACACGCAGGCGCTGCCCACCCTCACACGGGCGGAGGGGGGCCTGGCTTGGGGGTCGCCGGGGAAAAGCTGGACTGCAGTGGTGACAGGGACCTGGGAGGGCGGATGAGCGTCCCCGAAGCGGAAATGCCCAGCCGGAGGGCAGAGAGGGGGGCAGGCTGCTGGGAGGCCATAGACCGGTGATGCAGAGGGACCCAAGATGCCCAACACTGTCCTGCCCCGGGTCCCAAGACTGAGAGCGGAGAATGGCAGGTGTCGGGACAGGCGGACGTGGGGTCCCTGGAGCCTGCAGCCCACGGTGCTGGAGGCCAGCTCCCAGGGCCGACCGGACAGTGGGGGCCTGGGCTTGCGCAGAGACCGCCCGGAGCCCGAACCCTGGCACGGTGCGGACACAGAGTGCGGTGAGAAATGGAAACGGGACCTTCGCACAAGTGCAGCTGGGTCCAGAGGGAGGGTTTTCTGAGGTAGGAGAAACCTGCAGGGCGGTGCACACACGACTCTCCATGTGCAAACGTGCCCTCCCCCGTGACACCAGCACACGCGTGCACCCAAGCCCTCGGGTGTCACGGAGCTCCTGCTGCCCTCACTATTGAGACCCCGTGCAGCACATGAGGCCCGCCTGGGCTCACGTGCAGCACACGGCGCCCACCTTTCAGGTGGGCATCTGTGGGAGGGGGCACGTGGACAGCCGAGGGTGCTGGCAGCGGGGAGGACACACGGGCAGCCCCGTGCCAGGGCTGTGGGCACATGCTTCAAAATGTGGAGTGCACCCTTTGGAGACCCTGCCGCCTGTGCTCTGGGACTTGAGCCCGCGCATCAGCTCGTGTGTGTGCCGTTCCCCGTGGCACTGGTGGCTGGCGTGCAGACAGATACCCAGCCGCAGGGGCAGAGAGCTGCTAGGGAGCCAGGGAAGCTGCTGGAAGCGCCGTGCCCCTGGAGGGAGCCTGCGGGGAGGAGCTCCTGGGGTCCTGCACTGGCTGGGTCTGAGGCTTACCATCAGCTTGCTGCTTTAAGAGCTCCCTGGGATCCGTGTGCGCGCACACCCGACGTGTGTACGCAGTCGAGGGTGGATACATGTGCGCGGAAGCGGCTAAGCACCCACCTGAGGACAGCCCTTCTCTGGGGAGGGGGGGGAAGCATGAGATTTAAAGGGATACGGGCATTCACAACTGTATCTGGAAGGGTTTGTTTCGTTAAAAAAGTCTCAGTGGCCATGAAAGTAGTCCAGGTTTGAATCCGTGGGGTGTGGGGCTATGCTGTTCTCTGAAATAAGTTGTGGTTCGAGAGACAACAGGGACCCCAGGCCTGTCGCGGTGGAGAGGCCAAGCGGGCAGGAGCCCAGAGCCCTGGGACGGAGGCTGTGAGGTGGGCTGGTGGTGCCCGCGGGGGGCACCCCGGCCCGGGACTGCATGCAGGTGGGGCCCGGAGCAGGTGCGAGGCCGGCCGGCTGTCCGGGGGCTTCCAGGGAGAGGCTCCGCGTCCTCCTCCTCGGCCCTACTCCCTGGTCCCTGCTCCCAGTCCCCACGCTGCAGACCCTCCCCTCGCTGCTTCACAGCCGGCCCTTACAGGGGTCATTTCTATAGTTCGTGACTAGGTGTTTCTAAAGAGGTGTTGCATTCACGAAGAAGGGTTTGTGAGCCGAATCCCGGTGGGCAGGAGCCAGGAGGGCCGGTCCCAGGGGACACGGCCGGAGGCACTGGGGGCCACGTGGTGGGCTTGGCTTCCTTTTCTGCGTTCTCCAGATCTTCTCTGTAAGACAGACAGGGCTTGGTGGACTTGGAAACGTGGGGCCTGTGGGTGGCCTTGGAGGGAGCCATGTGAGCTGGACCGATTGGGCGCGGGTCCCTCCTGGGGAGGAGTGGCGGGTGGGGACTGGGGACGCTCTGCCCTAGGCCCTCTGCAGGGCCTCTTGGGGTGGTCCTCGGTCACTGGGTGGCTGTGTCCCTGCAGCGCGGAAGCAGGAGGTCATCAAGATCACCGAGCAGCTCATCGAGGCCGTCAACAACGGGGACTTCGAGGCCTACGCGTGAGCGGGGCATCTGGGCTGGGTCCCGGGAGGCCTGGGGTGGGCTGTGGGGGCTTCCCTGCGGTGGAGGGAGGGGCGGGCCGCGGCAGGGGCCTCTCCTCACCTGGGTCTGCCCCCCAGGAAAATCTGTGACCCAGGCCTGACCTCGTTCGAGCCTGAAGCTCTGGGCAATTTGGTCGAAGGGATGGACTTCCACAGATTCTACTTCGAGAACCGTGAGTCAGGGGGCCGGGTGCAGGGCATGGGCGGCGCGCCCCCCAACAGCAACGCAGGGCTCCCCAAGACCTCCAGGCCGCCCCGGCCCCCCCCCCCCCCCCCCTTGTGCTCCCGGAAGCGGAGGTTCCCCGGGGCGCCCTGCGAGCCCCTGCCTCTGCCCGCAGTGCTGGCCAAGAACAGCAAACCCATCCACACAACCATCCTGAACCCGCACGTGCACGTCATCGGGGAGGACGCCGCGTGCATCGCCTACATCCGCCTGACGCAGTACATCGACGGGCAGGGCCGGCCCCGCACCAGCCAGTCCGAGGAGACGCGTGTGTGGCACCGCCGCGACGGCAAGTGGCAGAACGTGCACTTCCACTGCTCGGGCGCACCTGTGGCCCCGCTGCAGTGAAGGTGGGTGCCGGTGCGGACCCTCCCCGGGGGGGCGCGGGGGGGGCCGGGGCTGAGCCGCCCCTGGGCTGCAGGCAGGCAGCACCCCATCCTTGCTCTGCCAGTCCTCCCTGTTGAGGGGGGGGGTGTTGCACATAAGGGTGTTGACCCTTCCCCACACACACCCTCCTCCGGGGGACGGCAAACGTGAGCTGACCCCCCACGCTCCCCCTCCTCCCCTTTCAGAGCTGCGGCCGGCTTCGCGGGACAGACTCGGTGTTTGGAGCCCGGCCGCCCTCCTGCGGCCTGCCTGTCGCATGTTTGTGTCTGCCTCGTTCCTCCCCTGGTGCCTGTGTCTGCAGAAAACCAAGACCGGACGTGATTTCTTTTTAACACCAAGATGACAACCACCACACACACACAAAATTGATGTTGGATGAAACAGGAGAACAAAACAAAGGAAAAAGCTGTACAAATCACTGGCATTTGTGGGGCTTCGAACCGACGGGCACCCCCCTCCCACACTCCATGTGTCTGTCCGCCCCTGGCCCCTCGGGGACCGGTGGGGCAGTGACCGCGTCCACAGGGGCCGGGCCGAGGACCCGTGTGTGTTAGATCTGCATCCCCCCGCCGTGCATGGCTGCCGTCAGGAGTGCCGGCCACCTGGGGCCAGGGGGACCCGAGCACGGCTGTTCCCCTCCCTTCCTCTCATGCCCCCAGCATGGACGAGCAGTGCAGAGGCCAGGCCGGCCCCCGGGGCCCCGATGAGCCATCTGAGACGCCCCCGCGGGCCCAGGGCTCCCGCTCTGGTCCCTCCAGGGCCGGGGGGGGGCAGGTCTCACGCCTGGCGGGAGACTGGCCGAGAGGACACTGTTGGCGGCAGTCCCATCGGGGAGGGGAACCCTTGGGCTGGCCTCCCTCCTATTCGGGGTGCCTCCCCTTCTGCCCACCTCCCCCGCCAGCTGGTACGGCCACAGAGGGGCTCCGGGCTTGGTCAAGACACAGGAAGGGGAGAGGGGTCAGAAGGCGGGTGAGTGGCGCCCTGGGCTCCCGGTGGGTACAGCAGGTGTTTGCGGACGGCGCTTTCGGAGTCGGGCCCAGAGCGGAGGGAGGGCCGGCTGCCCTGGGCCTGAAGGGCAGGGCGCAGCGGGCCCCACCCCCCACCCCCCACCAGGCCTCTCCAGGCTGCAGTGTGGGACAGGGACCCCAGGATGAGAAGACAGGCTGGGCCCAGCGCGAGGTACCCCCTGCGTGCTGGTGGGCACCGTGGTGAGGCTCGGGGATGGGCCCCGTGGTAGGATGGCAGCAGAGAGCGCCCAGGGTGGGGTGGTCGGGTTGTGATCGCAGAGGTGCAGGACCCTGCCGCCCCAATACCTGCCCCTTAATTCACATTTGCAACAAGGATTTTCTTTATCTTCCCCCACAAATCAAGCCAAGGGAGGGGTACAGAGTGGGGAACGGGACACAGGAGGCTGGTCTCCAAGGGGACTGTCCCTCAGCAGACACTCAGAGTGGACGCTCACCTGCCCGTCCACGGCTGTGTTCAGGACAGCTGTCCCCACCCATGGACACAGGGTAAACATCCGCCAGGCTCCCTGGGCCGCGGGCAGCGGCAGAGCTCACCGGGGACAGCGTGTGGCCCGACCACCCTCACCTCCGGGGGCCTCCTCCCCTCCTCTCCTCACCTCTTTATCTCCACGGAGCTGCCTGTCTGGGATAATTTGGGGATTTTTTCTGGGGGATAGTTCTTTTGCATGACCCCTCTCGAGCAGGCCACACCTGCTCGTCTAGCTAGATGTCGGAGGTGTGGCCGCTCTGCGGAGGGCCGGCTGCCCACAGCGCTGGCCGGCCGCCCCCCCCCCTTTTTGCTGAGTTCCATTGTCTTTTCTTTCTGAGCCTTGTAAGTGTAAAAAATCATTATTTTGTTCTGTCTCGGGAAACTGCAAATAAAAGAAAAACAGGACAAACGGCTTCACGTGCAGCTGGGGGCTTCATGCCAGGGCCCCCCGAGCCCCAGCCCCCAGCCCAGCTGCTCCCCCATGCAGCCCTGCCGGACCCCGGGTGCACCCTCATAGGAAGATGGGCAGCCTCCCCTTCACACTGGCTCCCCAGGCCCTGCCAATGCTTGTCTGTACCTCGGGCCTCGTGCTTTCCTGGGACAGAAATGTGGGCCTCAAAACAACCCGAGATATAAACACTCGTGGAAGTGACTTCTGGTAAGAAGGGCACCCCGGCAGTGACTAGGAGCCCTTGACTGTGGCTTGGTGCCCGGCAGGTGCTCACAGGAGTAAGGGCCGTGCCAGGGAGCGCAGAGGATCCGAGAGCAGGGTGCAGAGAATCTAGGACACAGCCCTCAAGCGAGTGGCAGAGTGGGTCCAGGCACAGTATCTAGGGTTCCACTCACCTATCAGCTGTAATCCGAGGACACTTTCCAGGCCAGGCCTCCCCAGGGAGGCAGAGCGCAGCCCCGCCCCGCCCCGGAGGCTCCTGAGCCGGCCCGTGAGACAGCCTTCGGTTGGTCCCTGTTAAATGGCCCCTGCTTTGAGCAAAGCTCCCTGGGCCTCAGAAGACCCCATACTAAGAAGCTGGTGCCCTTGGTCCAGCCAGAAATCCCAAGGCTGCTTCTCATTTCCAGGGTCACAAAGAAGGCTGAAAGCAAGGCCCGGGGCCAGCAATGAAACAGGCAGAGAAGTCCTCAGACCCTCTGATGATCCGCTAGCAAACTCATTCCCTAAACTGGGACCAGACTGGAGACTCCTTGACCTGCACGCACCCCAGGAGGCACGGATGCCCCCACACACCTGCAGGGCTGCCCCACCCCCCACCCCACCTGAAGAGTTTCCATCCATGTGGCCCGGGCTGCTGCGGCTGTGGGGGGTAGCTCCCCAGGCCGGGTCCCCTAGGTCGGCTCTAGGGCTCCCCCCGCTGGCTCCTGCTAGAAAGGCCGGCGGCAGGGGCGGGTCTAGGCAGCCACCACCTCCCCTGGAGCAGCGCTGCCCCGCAGGTGCACACAGGGAGGGGCAGGCTTCCCAGGACAGAGGCCCCCGAGGCTCGAACAAAGCAGAGGACTATTTTGGAATTTCAAAAGACAACTTTATCCAGATAAGAACCTTTCAGAACAGAGAAGTTAGGCGGCAGTTACCAAAATACACTCTTTGCCAAAGGCTTTCACGTGGGACCACAGGAGCTGGGGAAACCCTGGTTTGGGTATGAGCCAGCCCCGCCCTCCGCACAGCCCTCCCTGCAGATCCGCGCCTCCAGCCCCAGCTCCGCCCCAGCGACCTCCAAAGTTGGGAGTCAGACACCACCGTCCTTCGTAAGGGGAGGTCACAGCCCCCTGGGCACCAGTGAGCAGGTTGGGTCTGCGCGTTCCAGGGGGTCCCTCGGGCAGGCTATTTTAGGAGTAGGCCAACTCCTTTGGCCAGCAGTGCCCAGAGCAGGGTAGCCGGCGGGTAAACATGCTGGGGTGGGGCGTGAGGGTCCTCTGAAGCCACGTAGGTGCCACCTTCTGGTCCAAACAAGGGAATTCAGGGCCCAGCACTTTGTGTCAGGACAGTGGGACATCTTGGGTAGGGCAAGAACCAGCATGCTCAGGGAAGGACCCCAGGAAACGAGACCCTGACACCGCCCCAGCAGGGGCTTCTGTGGGGACCAGGTGCCAAGGGTGCATCAGGAGCTCACGTCCTCAGGAAGCGTTGCAGGACAAGGGAAGGCAGTCTGGAACACGGCAGTGGGGCCTGAGGGAGTGGGCAGGGCTCAGGGCTGGGGCTCATGCCACTGGGGGTAGGTTCTCAGCAGTGCTCCTGCGGAGGTCAGGCCACATATGGGGGCACTGGGAGTCCTCGGGATGGCTGGTACCTGGTCTTTGTGGCCAGGAACGGTGGCCACAGCAAAGGCCACTTGCTAAGGCACGCAGGCCCCAGGTGGTCGCTAACAGTCTTGTTGCCAGAGAGACAGGCGAACACGGGTTGAGAGACAGTATCCGCTGCTGTGACCTGACGGGCAAAGCTAAGCTGCGAGGCAGGGCAGACGTCCCCCACCCCACAGGGATGTGTGTGTCCTGTGGATGAGCAGTGCCCTCGGCAAGCAGTCAGTCAGCTGTGCACCCGGCTCGTCCCAGCACGGGCCTGGCCTGCTCACCCCCCGCTCCGCCCTCTCAGCCCTGCAATCGGGGCTCACCCTGGCTTTACTGGAGTGTTAATACAGTCAGCGCACAAACACCACCCCAAGGCGGACGGAGGACCGACAAGCCTGGCTCCGACCTCCCCAGGGGCCTTGCACAAGTTGGGGGCCCACGGGTTTCCCAGGGGTTAGAGACGAGCCCTTCAGCATCTACATGAGTCACTCAGAGTTTATGGTTTCATCTGGCCCAAGAATACACCTTTGGGGGCCTCAAACGAGCTTTTTAAAAATCACCAGACACATAAGTTTGAATGTTCCCCAGCCCCAGGCCCTTCCACGGCCCCTCAGTTCCTGCCAGGAGCTCCCAAGTGAAAATGTGTCCCCACGTGGGTCTCTCCATGGCGGCTCTGCTTCTCCAGGGGCTGCGGGTCTGATGCCGATGGCCGGGCCATCTCGGCACGGGGCCTCCGCGGGCCGCCATCACATGATAGCGCAGCACGAGTTCTGTTTCCGGGCCTAGACAGAAACACACCGGGGCTGGAGAGGCAGAGGCAGCCCCATGGCGGCACAAAGGCTGGTGGGGGTGGGGGGGGGGGGTGGAAGGCAGGGGCCGCGGAGTGGGCTGGGGGACTGGGAGCACCTGCAGGTGGACCAAGCTTCTGACTCTGCACCAGCCCGGGTCCCCCAGTGCCACCCGACCCCGTGCACGGAAGTTGTTCTGAGAATGTCCTTAGAGAACGGGTTCACAGGCGCCCCCCGCTGCCGAGCCGCATGGCCGTCTCCCTCCCAGGCTCACAGGAAAGCACAGGTGCGTGCCCGGCCCTGCTGCGGGCCACGCCAGTGCACCACTTCTGTCAAAGGGAACCGAGGTGGAAGGGCCGCTCTGGGAAGCCTGGGGGCCTCACCGCTCAGCGGGCAACAGGAACGTGTGAAGCCGGGGGCGGGGGGGAAGCAGCGGGGGGGGGGGGGGGGGGGGGGGGGGGCGGGCCTCTGCCCACGTCGGCTCCCCCGGCGTGCGAGAGACCCTGCACTACTGCCAGACCTGGGCCACCCCCTCTGCTCTCCCCACGCATCCCCGAACGTCCTAGGGACTCATCTGGTGGTGGGAGCCCGCGGGATGGCCAGCACTCACTGTCTTATAGAAGGCTTTGGACTGTGTTCCCAGCACTTCGGACTTGGACACCAGGTCGTCTAGCCTCTCCCCTCGCTCCAGCAGAGACTCCATGGTGTTGTGCTGGACACAGAAACAAGCAGACGCTCTGTGACCACGAAGCAAGTGGACACGAGCCCTTCGTGCGCTTTGGTCACAGGAGGCGCTTCTCTTGTGGGCTCCTCCCCCCACGTGAGCGTCGGGAGCGTCCCAGCCGAGCAGGACCCAGAGCCCATTCCGGGGGACCCCCCAGCGCAGGCTCAGACCACCACGCTCACAGCCACGGTACACACGCGGACTCCCACTGGACACACCGCCTCCCGCTGCCTGAAGGGACCCCTGTTCCAACGCCGCACTCGGGGAGGGCCTGCACAGACGGCTGTCGCCGGAGCACCTGCGGGCCCCTCTCGGGTTTCATTGGAGCAAGAGGCGCAAACCTGGGTACGCGAACAGGAACCGGCCCAGGAGGGGGAACAAGCGAAACCGTCGTCTCTCTCTACACAGAGCTCATGGCTCCGGCTGCTGGCGCGAGCAGTGAACGAAGCGAAGGGCCGCACGGGGAGGCAGCACAGCCGGCAAGCCCGTTTCTGCGGGCACTGGGGGCCACCGCCACGCCGGCCGCCCGCGTTCAGGGAACAGAACGGCCCAGGGGCGCGCAGGGCCGCGGCTCAGTGAGAACACGCAGAGAAGCCCGTGAAGAGAGACGGAGACACCTGAAGACCCTCACGCCTCACTTCCAATCCACAGCCCCCAAACCACATCATTCGCAGCATGATGTCTGCAGCGCCCCCCCCCTGCCCCCGCCGCCCCGACGGTTTCCGCAGAACGCAGCTTCCTGGGTCCTGCCCAGGCCAGCGTCTGACCCCAGGAGACGGCACAGAGCACGAAGGCCGAGCCAGAGCCCGCAGGGTTGTTCTGGGCACCTTTGCCACTCACTTCAGGTTCACTACCTGCTGGGCTTTGGTGCCCCACGTCCGCCACCTACTGGGAGCGGGGGTGGATAAGGACAAGCTCCAGGTCCTGAGGGCTCACACGCCCGTCAGGAAGACGCGTGCTCTGGTCATGACCGCGCGGTGGCGCCCGGGAGGCCGGCGCGTGGGGCACCTGCACGGGCGCCAGGCAGTGTGCACTTGACCCCAGAGCTTTCCTGAGAGCTCCTGGGGGACGGTAAGCGGAAGAACCACAGATCGGTGGCTACTGCCCGGACACAATGGTGGCAGGTGGGAAGCCCGGGACCAGTGACCAGGCAGAGGCCACGGGACCAAACTTGAGGAGAGAACAGACCCAGCGAGTGCCAAAGAGAGCTTGGAATTACAGAGAGAGAGAGAGAGAGAGAGAGAGAGAGAGAGAGAGACAGGAGGAGGAACAGAGAGGGAGGAAGAGAGACAGCCAGAGAAGGAGAGGAAGGGAAATGCTGAAGCAGCAGCTAGAGACCAGCAGAGCGCTCAGGCAAGATGTGGGCTTCCTGCTCTCCTGACCGGGCCCGAGGACCCCCGGTCTGTGTTTAGTGAGCACGAGTGGCTTCTCCTGCCCCCAGAGCCCACACCGCGAGGGAGGCACCTGCTGGGCTTGGAGACCAACGGCGGGGGGCGGGCAGCAGCAGCAGGGAAGCAAAGCCCAGAACGGACACCGTCACAGCGGGGAGGGATCGTGGCCACACCAGGTCTCGGCTGGGGCTCTCGTGCAACAGGGGTGTTGCACCCAGACGGGTGCAGGTAGCATAGACCCGGGGTCACCTGGGCCGTCTGGCTTTGGGGCCTCGGACGCTCGGGGAGAGGCAGGCAACCACCCCTTCCAGCGAAGCATTTGCATGAGGGCTCCCCCAACCCCAAGCCTGACTGTGTGCCTGGCCCCCCCGCCGCCGCCCCAGCTCCGGGACGCACTCACCCCTGCTCCCGCTTACCAGAATGATTTTGGTCTCATCCAGCTCAGCCTGCACTTTAGTCATGGGGTCAGCTTCTCGGGGGTTCTAGGGAAGAGCCCAAAACAACATCAGGAGTACAATGACCACCGGGAAACAAAGCTCAAACCAAGGGAGCTGGACAGGGTTTGCCAAGTTCACCAACCACAGGCTGCTCACACACACAACACAGAGGGGAAAGCCCGCCGTGGAGCTCGGGTTCCAGGTCTCAATGTGAGCCCTGCATGTTTCAGGGGGACACCGACACCAAGGCTGCCAGGAAGTCGCCCAGAGCCACGACCCACAGGGCCGCTCCGCTCCTGGCAGCTTCTGTCCACCCTACCTGGTACCGACTCAGGTGGCCGTCTAGGGCCGTGTAGTTGATGCTAGCAGGGGATCCGACTGGCCACTCTATCCTGTCCACGTGCTTGGAGAACTCGTCTAGTACCTGCAGGACAGAGGAGCCCATCAGCACCCGCAGCCACGGAACCTGAACGGAGAGCCCGAGAGAGGCTGTCAGGCTCCGGGAGGAGGAGCACAGCTCACGGCCAGGGGCAAATCTAGGCTCAAGTTTTTAAGATTTCTGGCAATTAAAAATGAAGTGTACCAACCTGACACGAATCTCATCTGGAGAAAAATAAAAGTATCAGAATTTTAAACTACCTGTCTCCACTTTTATCGGGTTATACGATTCTAGGAGAAAAGGTCCCTTCCCCCTCATTTTCCCAAACAGTTCTTCAAAAAGGAACTAGATCCTTTGGGTTGAAGCAACCAGCAGATCTCACGTGCTCGTGAAAGGATCAGTGCTCAGCGAGGCCAGAGGCCAGCATCCTCGAGAGGTTTCTGACGAGCACTGTGGCGCTCAGCCCCGTGGTGGAGCCGGACCCACTTGGGGGAAAGGAGCGTCCGGGGCGCAGGGATGGCCTGATGGAGGGGGGTGGCCACAGGGCCGAGCACAGAGTTGGCTGCGGCTCGCAGGAACCACAGTCACCCCCGGGGAAGGCAGAGGCAGGAAGAGTGGCCAGAGTGGTGGCCAAGGCCAGCCTGGCCACACTGCCAACTCACCTTCTCCAGTAAGGTAAAGGCTACCCGGGACGGGTACTCGCTGTCAGCAATGACCACTCCCGCGAGACTGTCGTTTCGCACGTAGACGTGGCACAGATATTCTAGGGAGAGGTTAGACACGTGCAGGGTGACGTGAGGGCTTTGGACATCCTCACCCTGATTGTGAAGGCATCACGTTGCTGAGCCCTTGCCCGATGGCTCAGTGAGACTCACACAGAACAGCGCGCAGGACGAAGCGCTGCCACCAGCACCACCCAACACCAGCTTAGGACGAGTAAATGCCCAGAGGCCCCGCGCACAAAGCCAGGCTCTAAAAGAGCCAGCAGGGGGTGCAGAAAACCGCCCAGGGGACGCCGCATTTCCCAGTCACATCCTGGAGCCCCAGCTCCAGCCTGGCCGTGTCTCCGAGAGCCGCAACTCTCAGATGCTCTGTCCTGCTCCTGAGCTGGAGACCCCGGACAAGACCAGCAGCCTCCAACTGCTTAAAAATCCCTACAAGGGGGCACCTGGGTGGCTCAGTCATTAAACGTCTGCCTTCGGCTCAGGTCGTGATCCCGGGGTCCTGGGATTGAGTCCCACATCGGGCTCCCTGCTCCGCGCGAAGCCTGCTTCTCCCTCTCCCACTCCCCCTGCTTGTGTTCCCTCTCTTGCTGTCTGCCAAATAAATAAATAAAATCTTAAAAAAAAAAAAAAGTTCCTAGGAGAGTGGCCCTGTATAAGGAAATCACCTCTTGGGGCGTCAGGTTTCCTGCTGTGGTGGGCCGGAGGGGTGAGGGAGGGAGAGGGGAGAGGAGAAGAGAGAAGGTCCACCTACAAAAAAATTCAGCCCTGCTGGCTGTGCTCTCAGTATTACTGTGCAAAAGTCATCAAACTATCCAAAGGTTCAGTCTGTACAGGGCTTCTACAAAACAGTCCTCAACTCCCAGTATGAATTTTTGTCACTTTCAAAAGGCTTTAGACAGGATACGGCTAACCATACCCCCAGGGAAAAAGGAACATAAGGGTTACAGCTGACAAATGAGACACTTCTCATGCCCGCGACGCTCACACAGAACAGCCTGATGCTAACCATGTGGGAACAAAGAGGAGAGAGAGACTGTGAGCTCCTGAAGTGAGATGAGGGCGGTGATAAATGAGAGCAGGGCCAAGGTCAGGGTGGCCGCCGACGCTCCCTGGGCTCTGTCTACATCCCCAAGTAAGCAAAGTGCAAACGTGCTGTCGAAGCGCACGCACCCCCCAGAACCGGAGAGGCTGGTTCAGTGCTGAAGGGCACAGCTCTCAGCAATCGCCGGGGAGGCGGGCCCAGAGAGAGACTGACCACACAGCGGCGTTCGCAGTCCAATCTCACCTCCGCGGTGTGGGCGGCACCGGGAGGCCGCACAGGGCACACACAGGGGGACCCCGTCCCCCGGGCATGATGGACACCTGCGTCACCGACACACGGCCTCCAGGGCTGCAGCCCTGTCTCTGCCCAGTGAGCTTCCCGCGATCTGTGTGACACAGCTGTCCTTCCTGAGTCGTCTGTGTCACACGGGCTTCCCAAAGAAGAGCCTCAAGATTCTTACAGGAAACCGGAATTATGAAGAAGTAAAGGTAACGGCCAAGAGGAAAACGTAATGCGTTTTCAGATTCCTGGTCAAAAACCTAAGGAGCATCCGTTGGGAATCCTTGCTTGCGATGTGTCCAACGTGGGCGGAAAGAGAAAAATTCGGGAGGGTCACTAACTGCTCCACAAAAGCTAGACCCCGATCTGAAGCAAGTCTAAGCTTTGGGGTAAAAACTGAATCAGGCAGCTCAGACTCCAACGGTGGGCACAGAATTGTGCGTAAACAGAACAAAGAGGAGGGAAAAGAGAACCGGCCGGCAGAGGAGCGGGGTCCTGGCAGGCTCCGCGCGGGGCAGTGCCTGTGTGAGGAGCTCCGGGCTGCCCGAAGTGGGACGGCACACACACGAGGCAGCGGGTCCTCTTACCTTGTTCTTTGACGGAAGCTCGGCTGCCTTTTGCAGAGCGCTCCACGATCAGCTGACTTGTGAAGGTCATGAATTCCTGAACACTAAGAAACAACACACGTTACCTCTTCCTGTCACCTTGTCCCCAGCACCACGGAAGGTGACATCCGAGCGGAGACACTAAGGGGCTGCGGCTTCTGGGTCTCCTTCCTTTCCCTCCCGACCTCAGTGACTAAGGAGAGACGCTGTTTTGTTACAAATCCTCACAGCCATTCAAGCCACATCTATCTGCTACCTCACTCACCAGGACAACTCACTTCCACCCTTGTGGGGATTTTCTACAGGCTTTAGTCAAGGTAACGCTGTGTCAGAGCACAGTTTGGGACACGGGGAGAACCAGAAGCCAGCGTGTGCACAACCAGATCCGGCCGCTGCGCAGGCCACACACTGTGGTGAGACACACGTCTGCAGTGAACGCAGGCTACGGCATGCAACACGGCCTCAGGCATGCTGGCTCATCCTGGCGTCCCATCCAGGGCACTCTGCAAGGCAACCACCCGGCCAAGGAGAAAGAGGAAGTGACCTGGACAAAGGCTGAGAGGGAAAAGGACACTCATGGGCCCAACAGAGAAATGGGCCAGAATGGGAGAGTCACAGGTGACAACAGTTCGGCTCACGAGACTCTCTGGCAACCCCTCTGTGGCGTGAAGACTTCCGGCCGCGGAGTGCACGTCCCCGGCTGGGAGCCGTGTGACCTCCAAGCCCGTTACTTACTGCCCCATGCCAAACCCACAAAATCCACGTTCACTGTGGGGAGCGTACGGCACTTAGCACCATACCTGGTGCCCAACATTCCTGCGAGAGAGAGATGTGATCAAAATCATCCCACCGAGAAAAAGTCTCCAAATAAGGAAGTCCTTGCAGTAAAACCAAGCAGAGACACAGCTCACAGCACGACTGTGTCCAGACACAGGGCGGACGTACATTCGTCGCACAAGTCTGCACACAGGGGCGAGAAAAGCTGGAGACCCATCTGAAGGTTTTATAGCTCGGGGTCTGGTAGCCGCGAGGCAGGAAGAATGGAGGTGAGAGGCCTGGACCACATGCTGCTTTAAGAGGTGCTAGTGGGGGCGAGCCCAGAGGACCGAGTGTGTCAGCCATCACGAACTGGCAGGGGTACCCCAAAGCAGTGAGGCGAAGGTCCTACACCGAAACCTATGAGCACCCTCGGTGTACACGGGCAACGAAGAAGAAAAACAGCCAAGTTGGCTCCAAACGTTCCGTCACAGAAAACCGACGACACAGAACTGAGCAGAGGCCGCGGCGGAGAAAGCCAGGCATCCAGAAGATACTTCCCGAAGGCCCCAAAAGAGGCTAAACGTTTCCACGAAACAACAACAGGACCTGTTTTCGATCCTGCCAGCAGAACACTCTGACCAAGAACAACAACTGCCCAGAAGCGGTGAGGACAGAGCCAGATGGCAGTGTCCACTGGACCTGGAGCCCGTGGGGTCCTTCTCCGTCGGTGCCTGAGTCCCCACCCCTCCCACCAACGGGCCGAACGTCTGCAGCATCCCTCGCACACACCTCCTTGCAATTAAGGCGTCCAGAAACACTTAAGACGCTTGTAAGCCCTACGCGCCCCATGCTTCCTTCCAAATCTTCAGCACACACCTTCTTGCACCATCAGAGCTTAATCAGAAAAAACATAGTATCTGAGTTTGACTCCTGGCTGGCTGTGGTATAATTTCTGGCGGCCTCACGACTTCATCCATAAGACGGAGCATACCAATACCTCTCCTACTGAATTGCTGGAAAAACCCCATCAGATCACATAAACTGGCTCTCCGGGTGTGGCCCCTAAGCCGCCGGGGTTAGGATCACTGGGAGAAAGGCATCGGTTTAAAATACACATCTCTGGGCCTCCACGTCTGAGCGTGAATCTGGGCAATCTGTACTTATTCGAAGTCTCCTTGCGATTCTACTACGACGAGAATTTGGAAAACACTGAGCACAAAACCAATATTCTAGTGGAGCATAAGCCCTTCCCCAACGGAAGAAGGCGGATTCCTCGCAGGTCCGGTCCACGCACGGAGCAAGGGGCCATTTCAGGGCTCCATGCGGGAGGGCGAACCCCTGTCCACCCAACGCCGACCCCCGGGCCATCGCCGACCCCCAGGGCCCCGCCCCACGCCTCCCCGGACCCCGAGGCCCCCCTGACCGGAGGCGCCCCGCCCCCCACCTCGCGGGCCTCCCCCGAGCCCCGGGGCCCCGCCGCCCGGGCCCGCGCACCTGGACCTCTGGAAGAAGCTGAAGGAGGACACGTCGTACGCGGCTTTGAGCAGCACCGCCTTCGGCTTGCCTTTGTACAGGACGCTGAGGCTGTAGAGCTTCATGGTGCCGCGCCCTCGGGCCGCCCGCCCGCCCGCGGGACCGGCTCGCGGGGAGCAGCGCGGCCGCCGCCCCTGGAGACCGCCACAGGCTGCTGACGGGTCGGACGCCGGCTACCCCGCCTGGCTCGCGGTCGACTTCCGGTTCCGGCCAGGGGCCGCCGCCCGAGCCCCAACGCAGAGTTCTCGTGCCCCGGATGCAGAAATGAGCGGCCGGAAACACGAAGGCGGCGGGATGGGAGGGGCGGGGGGAAGACAGCGCAGCGCCTGCGCCTGCGCCTAAGCCCGGCCCCGCCCCTCTGGCCTGTGTGGGGCCGCCCCCTCCCTCCCGCGACGTCCGGAGTTCTCCCGGGCTTATCCCTCTCCGTCCTGGGGGGTCCGGTCCCTTCCGGGGCCTCCCCTCTCCCTCTCGGGGTGTCCCGCCCCCTCCGGGGCCTACCACCCCTCCCTCTTGGGGTGCCCTGAGTCCTCCCCTGCCAGACTGCCCCAGGCCGTCCTGGGCAGCTCCTGACAACACACCCAGAGCAGCACCCACACGCCGCTGCTCTGGGAACCCCAGAGAGGAGCTCTGAGTTATGGCAGGACTGCCTTCCTGTACTTGGTAAACCCAGTCTCCTAAAAGTGAAGGGCAGGAAACTTTCCTTCTAGAGGCTCCTGCGGGGATGTGAGGGCAAGCTCTCCGCCCCGCCGCTGCTCCACAGGACCCCTCAGCACCAGCCTGCAGGCGCACGGGCTTCCTGGGCTGGCCCGCCACCTGTCTGGGCACGGCTGTAGGAGGCGGCTGACCTCACAGGGTAGCAGGGATGCGTCACAACAAGAGGACAGGAAATCCGCTGCACACTTCGCCATCAGCCCGGTGCACGGCGACTTAGAAGGCCTCGTTTGCCTTGAGATGTTGAAGTAATGCTTTGCCGATGGGTGGGGATGGATGCGGCAGAGTCCCATCAGAGTCCCACGTCTTGCCCATTTCTTGTTTATTACATGGTGTTATGTCATCGGCGTCTCACAGGCCACATAAAAGGGAACTTGGTCTTTGGCATTTGGCAGTGAGCTTACACAATCATGCTAGAAGCAGCCAGATCTGAGGTGATGGGAAGAGACAGCCTGTTTGAAGAACCAACAGCATCACTCCACACATTACTCTTAATCGGGGTTTCTCAGCCCCAGCACTCTTCATGTTTTGGTTGGATAATGGGGGCTTGTCCCCAGTTCTTGGGGGCCATCCCATGCAGTGTAGGTAGCATCTCAGGCCCCGTACCCACTAGATACCAGTAGCACCCCATTCGCCATCTGGCAAGCAAGAACGTCTCCAGAAGTCGGCAAATAGGCCCCGAGGAGGAGAGAAAAATGTTTCTGTGTCTGAAGGAAGGTCCTGCCACCTGCCCCCTGACCAGCCCTCTTCCCTGGATTTCTTCAAGTGTAGAGCGTGGAGAGGACTTTTCCACATCCCCCGTTTGGGTGCAAAACATCAGGAACAGACACTGGCCCACATCAGGCCAGTCACCCACAGACACAGGCTCACCAGCAGGCCAGGCGGGGTCCCAAGATGCTGTGCTGATACCGTTGTCCTATAGGGGGCGGGCGACAGCCGTTGCTGGAGAAAATCCCCGGAGCCCCTTTTCTCCTTCTCCACTGAAAGTTGTTCAAAGGGACAAGGAGGGCAGTTCCTGCTTGGAAGAGATTTAAATGTGTTCACTTGTCCCATACTGGTGGGTGTCTTACCGTTGGCCTTACACCAAGCACTCCCCATGTGCTACCTCATTCAGACCTCACAGAAGAGAGCAGGATTTTATGAGCACCTTACAGACAGAGAAACAGATTCAGGTCAAGGAAATTGCGAGTCAACACCACAACACCGAGCACAGCCCAGTTCCACTCCCGGAGGCTCTCCCCTCCTCTCTGGCCCGGGCCCGCCTCCACCTCTCTGTCTGTGTGGTTGCAAACTCCCCAACCCCATCATCCCTCTTATTGAGAAGCAAGTCCACCTTCCACTCCATCGCCCAGCCGTCACCCAACTCGGATTCAGTCCAGCACCGCCACAAGCCCCAAAGCATAAAGGTGAACAAAGCACTAACCTCTCTCAGTCTCTATTTTTTCAACTGTAAAACTGGAAATATAACCCTTTCCATCGGTGCGTTGCTGGGAATGGTAAGACGCTATATTCCAAGCTCCAGTCTTAGTAGATGTTTAACAAGTAAAAACCATGATATTTCCAGGCATTGTTATCATTTATGACAAAAAGGAGAGATTATCTCAGGTTAAAGGCATCAGGCATCCTGCAGGAAGAGAGATCTGACAAGCTGAGTGAGGTCTGCAGAGTGGAAAATACTACAGGTATGTCTTATAATTTCCTGGTTTTGATCATTGTGTTGCGGTTATGTAAGAGAATTCTTGGTTGCAGCAATAGGATGTGTATACGATGTATATGAAGGGTAACGCACAAATGGTAAATTGAAGGAGTCCGGATGGAGGTATCCAGGAATGCTTTGTACTGTTCTGTAAGTCTAAAACGATGGGGACAGGGAAGATTGCAGGGAAGAAGCACGGATGTCACGCGTGCAGCAATCCATGCTGCCCACGACCTGCGGCCCAGGCCTGTGAGTTCACCCCTGCTGGGCAGGCAGGTGCCCACCCACCTTCAAGGCTTGCTCAGCTCACGGAGGGGCCCATTTTTAGCTGCACAGCAGAAGCCCCACGGAGCTGGATCAAAGCCAGCTGAGGGGCATGCCGGGGGCTTGCAGGGGGAACCTGGCCATGCCGTGGCCTCCCTACCCCCTTGTCCGGTCAGCCAAGGCCAGGGCTGTTTTCCCTGTAATTGTAACGTGAACCTCTGCAGCTTACCCAGGACGGGAGCCCTTTGAAAGGGACCACAGACGTGATCAGGCCTCCTAAGGACGTTCAGGGCCTGTCACTCCTAAATGTGCCAATCTGACATATCGACTGCTTTGAGTTAGTGGCACCCAACACACAGCAGAGGCAAGAAGCCCACTCTGACCCTCCTTTTTATTCTTCAAAGCGGGATATTAAACCCCCACATGAAAGGTGCCCTCTGGGTAGCAGGAGGAAGACATTCTTCCCACCAGAGATGAATGAGGCGGAGAGAAATCTGTGCAAACAAGCCTCATCTTGCAGTGACTCCCAGCAACGTCCTCTCCCTGCCCCAACCCCTCTGTCACTTCGGTTCTTCACTAAGTGTTTCTTTGTCACCCGAGTGTTTGCTATTGATCGTTCCTGCTCTGGTCACTTCTCTGGGTCTTCATTCTCTTGTGAAGGCTCCCGTGCCCCTGTAAAGACTTTAGTAGAACATGTATGCTTCTCTCCTGTTGATGGCAGCTTAGTTCTTAGGCGCAGCTGGAGACCCAAAGAGGGCAGAGAATGTGTCCTGTTCACCAGCCTAAGGAGCACAGACTTGATGCCATCAGCCCGCCCCGGCCCCCAGGAGCACTGCTCGCTACCCCAACCCTCCCAGCAGGTTCCGCAGGCCACCAGCCCGGAGGGAACAGGAGATGTAGGAGCAGGAGAGGATGGGGGTACACTTCGAGAAGGTTTGCCTGGAGGCAGGCAGTGGCCAGGAAGGGACCACAGCTGGGGAAGACCAGAGGCATGTGAATCAGCTGGGAAATAGTGAGACAGGCCCCTCAGAACTGCCTCGCTTGTATGGGCTTCTCAGAAGCTCTATTTGTACCCTGAGACCCCTCCCCAGCTCAGGGGCTAGGGATGGGTGTGTAGCCCAGGCTGGACACACAGTCACTTAGGCTGGGGGCTCGATCTTCTGAGGAGCTGCCCTGCACAGGACCTAGGAGACAGTCTGCAGAGGAGGAAGGGGGCCAGGGGGTAGGTAGAGCCCTGCAAGAGGAGAATCTGGGCCCCACAGCAGCTGGTCTCCAGGACTCCCAGGAACAAAAAGCAGGATGGGAGTCATCACAAAGGAAAAGTGGTCAGGAAGGATCTGAAAAGCAGGGGCGTGGTGAAGATGCTGAGCGCCCCCCTCCTTGGGCTCCCTAAGCTCCCCCACATGCCCCGCCAGAGGGCCCCCTGAGGCCCTCTCCCCATGCCCCCTCACTAAATCTGCCCCAGCGAAGCCCCCTTCCATTTAGCCCTCCAAAGACCCCATGTGAGTCCCTTGGTGAGAGCACAGCACTGCCTTCTGGGTTTCCCTCCAAGCCCGCCCCCTGACCCCCCAGTCCCCCTCAGTCTCACTCTGAATACCACACCTAGCCCTCCTCCCCAGCTGGGGCTTAAGTGCCCTCACCACTGAAGGCTCCCTGGCCTCCCCAGTCCCCCTGAGCACACCTCTGAGCGCCCTCAGCAATCCCCCCACTGCTGAGCACCCCCCTCCTCCTGAGCCCTCCTGAGTGCCCCCAGCCTCCCCCACTGCTGACCACCCCTCTCCCCGAGTCCCCCTCCGAGCACCCCCAGCCCCCCAACTGCTGAGCACCCCCCTCCTGAGTGCCCCCAGCCCTCCCCCACTGCTGACCACCCGCCTCCCCCCCGAGCCCCCCTCTAGTGCCCCCCCGCCCCCCCCACTGCTGACCACCCCCTCCCCCTGAGTCCCCCTCCGACCACCCCCAGCCCCCCGACTGCTGAGCACCCCCCTCCGCCTGAGTGCCCCCAGCCCTCCCCCACTGCTAGCACGTGGGCACCCAGAGATCTCAGCCAATCAACAAAAGCCCATCCCTATTGCCGCAGCAATTGGGCACGTGATCCGAGCCTCAGCCAATCAACGCGCCCCTCCGGGGTAGGCCGTCCAATCAGAGCAA